GCCTTGAACCCGCTCCTCGCATCTCCTGCCAGCGGAGCCAGGGATGGGAATCGGAGTCCGTCCGGTGGCCAAGGACGGGGCGTCCTTCCTTCCCTTCCCTTCCCTTCCCTTCCTTCCACCCACCTCTCCCTCTCCCAGGGGGGGGAGGGAAGAAGATGCTTTTGCTCAACATCTGGAGCGCATCCTGGGGCTGACACTACCGTTGAGAAAACGGGCTGCCAGGAGCCTACCTCGCCGGGTCGGCGTGCATCTACCCGCAGAGAAGGAAGAGGAAGCCCCGCCAATCCCAGAAACACGGGTGTGGGTGTGTGTTGTGTCTCTCTCTGTGTGTGTGTGTGTGTCCTCCTTTCTCTCTCAAAAAAAAGCATCCCTCGCCTTTTCAGCAAGGCCCCTGGACTCAGCAGAGGCTCTCTGCACATGCTCTAGGAGCGCAGCCGGGCAAAGCTGGGAAGGGTGGGGGAAGGAAAAAAAATCGGATTTTTTTTTTTTTGCTCTTTTTGGGGAGAGGAGGGGGGGGCGCACAATAGCAGCGGAGAGACGCGGGCGTCCCGCGGGCGCGCGCGAGAAAGCCAAAAGCCCGGGAGCGCGCGAGCGCGCGCGGGGGAGGGGGGGGGCTCTGCTCCCCGGCTTCCTCGCTGAAAGGGCGCGCGCCTGCATGCGCGCTCCCGACCAGCAGCAGGAATAGCAAGCAGCGGCGGCGCCTGTCACGTTGCAAAGCAGCCTCTCCGCCATATGGTGGGGAAGCGGGACGGGGGGGGCGCGCCTCTGCCCCGGGGGGGTGGTGGTGGGTGCCGCCGCTGCCGGCGGTGCTCGTGCCCGGCCGGAGCGGGTCGCGGAAGCGCCCGGGGTGGGGAAAGGGAGAAGCGGGCTCGTCTTCTTCTTCCTCCTCCTCCTCCTCCTTCTCTTCCTCCCCGCGTCTTGCACGGACGTCTGAACGGGGGAGGCGCTCCGCTGTTGCAAAAGGGCTCCCGTCTCCTTGCCGCGGTCTCGGCGTCCGCTGCCTCCCCCCCCCCGCGAGCCCGCCGCCTCCCCGGTGCACGTGCAAGATGCGTGTCGGAGGAGCCTTGCAGCCTTACCTCTCCGGGCTTCTTGCACCGGCAGCAGCAACTGGAGCGGGGCGCTGCCTTCCCTTCCTCCGCCGCCGCCGCCGCCGCCGCCGCTTCTTGCCCCGCGTGGAGTCTCCGTGTCCGCTCCCTGCGGCCCAGGCGCTGGCCCCGCCCTCCTCCCCTTCCTCCTCCGACCGGGGGCGGGGAGACCCAGGAGGGGGAGGAAGCGGGCGGGGGCGCCGGGCGGCGTCAGCAGCCCCGCCGGGGAAGGAGAGCGGAGGCGGAGGGAATCTGGGTTTCCTGGGAGGGGGGGGCGGCGCCGCTGGGGAGGGAAGGAGGAAGGAGGATCAGCCGGTAAAAGGGGAGAAGTGACTCTGAACATGGGCAGAGCGCTTAGGCGGGGCTCCTCGTGCAAGGGAGGGGAGGGCTGGGGGCAGGAAGGAAGATCAGCCAGTAAAAGGGGAGACAGACCTCTGAACATGTGCAGAGCGCTTAGGCGGGGCTCCTTGTACAAGGCGCGGGAGGGCTGGGGGCAGGAAGATCAGCCAGTAAAAGGGGAGAAGTGACTCTGAACATGGGCAGAGCGCTTAGGCGGGGCTCCTTGTGCAGGGGAGGGGAGGGCTGGGGGCAGGGAGGAAGATCAGCCAGTAAAAGGGGAGAAGTGACTCTGAACATGTGCAGAGCGCTAAGGCGGGGCTCCTTGTGCAGGGGAGGGGAGGGCTGGGGGCAGGGAGGAAGATCAGCCAGTAAAAGGGGAGAAGTGACTCTGAACATGTGCAGAGTGCTAAGGCGGGGCTCCTTGTGCAAGGGAGGGGGAGGCCTGGGGCCACGGAGGAAGATTATTATTATTATTATTATTTAAATTTATATACCGCCCTATCTCCCTTACAGGACTCAGGGCGGTGAACAGGCGATAATAAAAATCACAATAAATATTAAATAAAAAGCCTGCTCTAAAATACCCCCTATAAAAACCCCTACCAAAACACAATCCTCTACTGGCAAGATCAGCCAGTAAAACGGGAGACCGGCCTCTGAACATGTGCAGAGCGCTAGGCAGGACTCCTTGTGCAAGGGAGGGGGGGGAGGCCTGGGGGCAGGGAGGAAGATCAGCCAGTAAACAGGAGATGGGTCTCTGGACATGTGCAGAGCGCATGGCAGGACTCCTTTTGCAAGGGAGGGGGGGGAGGCCTGGGGGCAGGGTGGAAGATCAGCCAGTAAAACGGGAGACAGACCTCTGAACGTGTGCAGAGCGCTTGGCAGGAGTCCTTTTCAAAGGCAGGGAGGAAGGAAAATCAACCAGTAAAAGGGGAGACAGACCTCTGAACATGTGCAGAGTGCTAGGCAGGACTCCTTTTGCGGGGGGGGGGGCTGAGGACACGGAGGAAGATCAGCCAGTAAAAGGAGAGATGAGCCTCTGCACACGTGCAGAGCGCTTGGCAGAAACCCCCCCCCAGCCCTCCTTTAGGCAAGGGGTGCTCTTTTTTTTTAAAGGGGGGGGTAAGACAGGCACGGGATGAAGCGCTGGCTCTTTGCAAACCTGAATCCCCTGTGCCTTTTTTTAATGGGGGGTGGGCGCATCTTTGCAGGAAGACGGATGGGGAGGGAGGTGCAAACTTGCACCCACTTTAGTGGGAGACGCAGCGGACGTGGCATCACCTGCACCCAGTGCGCCCTGAACACAAATGGGAATCGGCACAGGAAAAACTCCTCGGGCTTCTGAATGCCTTTTCTCTCCGGCGGTGAGCCGTGAGGAAGTCGGGGGGGGGGGTCTTCATTAATCGAAGAGATAATTTAAAACGACCCCCCCCCTTCTCTCCTTTTAATACTGCTCAGATGAAATCTTGGAAAGAAGACAAGGGGCCGAAGCATTTTGCATTTCCAATAGCCAGAAAAACTCTCGGCATCGAATCTGAAGGCCGAGTTCACACCTTTGGGGCTGAATCGCTTTTTTTTTTTTTTGCAATAAGTAGCGTTCACACAACCCCCTAGAACCACGGGGGTTTTGTAAGAAACACACAAGAGATGGGCCTCAAATCCAGGTGGGATCCCCCACTTGCTGGGCCAGCCGGCTCCTTTCCCCCCAAAATCTGGGAAGATTTCAAGACTCTTAAATCTCTGAGCGAAATTAAAATTTCAAATTTGTTGCCTGACCGCATTGGAGGGAACCGCGGAAGAATCTCAAAAGACATTAAGAAAGGAACGAAATGAGAAAATAAAGAACCGGATCGATTAAAGCACAACTTCTTTCCAATTCTTTTTTTTCCGCTTCCCTTCCAAAGGCACTCCCGACAACCAGGTATCCTTCCCCACTCTTTCCAGACTTATATACCGCTTCACGGTGCTTTACGGCCCTCTCTAAGCGGTTCACAGAGTCAGCATTATTTGCCCCCTGCAACAATCCGGGTCCTCATTTTAGCGACCTCGTAAGGACGGAAGGCTGAGTCAACCTTGAGTCGGTCAGGATCGAACTCCTGGCTGTGGGCAGAGTTAGCCTGCAATGCTTGCATTCTAACCATTCGGAAGGAAGGAAGGAAGGAAGGAAGGAAGATAACACTAGCACTTAGACTTATATACTGCTTCACAGTTTTTTTCAGGCCTTTTTAAGTGGTTTACAGAGTCAGCCTCTTGGCCCCTGCAACAATCCGGGTCCTCATTTTAGCGACCTCAGAAGGACGGAAGGCTGAGTCAACCTTGAGTCGGTCAGGATTGAACCCCTGGCTGTGGGCAGAGTTAGCCTGCAATGCTTGCATTCTAACCATTCGGAAGGAAACGAAAGGAAGGAAAGGAAAGGAAAGGAAAGAAAGAGGGAAGGAGGGAGGGAGGAAGGAAATGAAAAGGAAGGAAAGAAAAAAGGAAAGAAACGAAAAGGAAGGAAGGAAACAAAAAGAAGGGAAGGAAGGAAATGAAAAGGCAGGAAGGGCAATACCGATAGCATTTAGACCAGTGGTTCTCAACCTGTGGGTCGGGACCCCATTTGGGGTCGATCGACCATTTCACGGGGGTCGCCAAGCAAGGCTGTCCACCATTTTTTTTGTCCGCCATTTTTTTTCCCTTTTCCGGCGGGTGCCTTACCTCCCTTGGGCTGGGCCAGCTGGTGGTCGGCCTGCTCCGTCTCTGCCACTTGCCAGCTACGCCTCGGCCGGCGCAGGGGGCGGAACCACGCATGCGCGGCGCTCCCGGGCAGGGAAAGTCCTCGACTTATGACCGGTTGGGTAGTCCTTGACTTACGACCGGTTTAGTCCTCGACTTACGACCGGTTTAGTCCTCGACATACGACCGGTTTAGTCCTTGACTTACGACCGGTTGGGGTCGCGGCATTAAAAAGGTTGAGAACCACTGATTTAGACTTATCTACCGCTTCAGCCCTGGTTTACAAAATCAGCCTATTGCCCCCCAACAATCTGGCTCCTCGTTCCTCCGCGCCGAGGTTAATCAGCTGCTATGATTTTTTTTCCCCTCCCTGGATTTTTGTACTTTCCCCACCAACCCCAAATCCAAGATCTTGGG